GTTAGTTCTCATGAGAGAATTACTATTTAAGGAAAAAAAAAAAAAAAAAAAAAAAAAGATCACAGAGATTTTCCCAGCAGTCAGGAGGCAGAGGAAGGCAGGGTGGTCTACATGGCTGTATCCCCAGTGGTTTGTGTGTTAAGGCTTGGTCCCTAGTACTGCGGAGATTTGTAGTGGGAAGCCATAGGATGTGTTGCCCTGCATAAAAAATTAATTTACTTCTCATGAGACTCTAGTTAGTTCTCATGAGAGAATTACTATTTAAGGAAAAAAAAAAAAAAAAAAAAAAACAAGATCACAGTCTTAATCCCAGCAGTCAGGAGGCAGAGGCAGGCAGATCTCTGAGTTCGAGGCTACCCTGGTCTACAAAGTAAGTTCTAGGACAACCAAGGCTACACTGAGAAACTCTTATCTCAAACAAAAAAAGCAAGATGGCCACCATCCTCACTTCTTTTTCCTGTCTTGCCACACGATCGCTCCCTCTCTCTTACCCTTGCTCCCTCAATAATCACATCTGCCATGACATGCTGCAGAGCAGAAGAGCCCTCAGCAAAGTTGTCCAAAGTAGTCAGGGTTCTCCAGAGAGACGCACTGACAGATTAAATATATCTTGCAATGTGTTATTAGATTGGCTTACAGGATACCGCCTGGGTCGTTCAACACTGGCCGTTTCCATGCTGAAGAGACGAGAACACGCAGAGCTGGTTACCTCAGAAGTCCCACTCTGGTACTAAATGCCCAGAAGATTCAGTGTTTTCACACTGGACTGGTAAGAAGTCTAGTGTCAGCAAAGGGTGGTAACAGCACCAGTAGCGGGGGGCGGGGAGACACAGACCACCCGCAAGGAGTGACAGCAAGAGAGAGCTCTCTGGGAAGGCCCTGGGACATACTTATTCCATGCAAACCCGTGACGCCGTGTGAGGAGCCAGCCAAGCATGGTGAGGGCCTTGGTGGCGAGGCAGGTAGCCTTGTCCTCTGCCAAGAAGACCCCTGAGGGCTCTTATTCACGGTGCGCGTCACTCTTTTGTTTGAACATTTATGGACATTTATTATTTCGGGTCAGTGTAAACATTGACAAACTTCCTTCCAGATAATTAAATAGTCTACAACTCAGGCCAGTAGGTGAAACCTGGACAGGGCAGCGTGACCCCTGAATTTAGGGTTTCTCACAGGAGCACGGGCAACTTCTCAGTGGCTATACCAGTAAAGAAAACGTCTCTTCTTCCCCGGCAACCATTAATTGTATTTATTTAGGGAGGGATGGGGCCTCGTGAGCCTTTCCCCACTGTGACAGAATGTTAACGGGCCTAGCCTTGTGTGGCCCTTGCACTGAGAACCAGGGAAGCTAAGAGTTCAAGAACATAATGACCACATCTTGCTGAGTGCGTGGTGTGTGCGTGTGTGTGTGTGTGTGTGTGTGTGTGAGTGAGTGTGTGTGTGTACGAATCAACCTTGGGTGTTGTTCCTTGGGGTTATCCACTATTGGTTTTTGAACAGGGTCTCTAATGGACCTGGAAATCACCAGGTAGACCAGCTGGCCCAACAAGGATGCCTCAGGGATCCCCCTGTGTCCTCTTCCCCGGTGCTGGGATTACAGTCACATGCCACACCCGGGTCTTTAATACACGGGTTCTGGGGTTGAGCTCAGATCTTACACTTTACCCTCAGCGCTATTTCCCAAGCCTTCAGTGCTCAGCTGTCCACGGTGCCGCCTCTCTTACCATTTTCTGTTACTTTGACTAATTGAAGCAATGGCTGTGATCTAGTAAGCCCAGCAGGTGACCAAAAGTCATAACGATTTCTTCCTTAATTAAGAACTCTTCTAAAACCAAATCAACAGATGGAATCCAGAAACATTCAATTCTTGGAACAAGTCCCCGAGTCGCTAAAAGCCTTGTTCATTGGGGAAGAGTCAGTCCCCCCAGCTTCTCAGTGCCATGCACTGTACCCAAAGGTGCCGGGGTCACACTGCCTGGAGTGAGGCTTCAGACCCCCTGTGGTGAGAGAACTCTGCTTGCATTTACTCCTTGACCCATCATGGTTTCTCTTATGAATAGCTCATCTGTCCTAGCCTTGATGTGGGCTCTCTGAGGTCAAGGGTCACCATTTTCCCTAGATCAACTGTGCCTGCTTGCAGGAGACCAGCACATGGAGCTTGGTGACAGCTTACTTCCCCAGAGAAGGAGAGGTGGAGTGGATCCGTGGACCTTGTCCAAGATGCCGCTGCTTCCTCTCAGCCACCTGTGTGCAATTCCGCCCTAGTTGCTTATGGCCTTGGAGTCTCAGGAGGTGCTCCTGTGGCCAGGCTGGGGAAGGTAACTGAGGACTCCATTGATGTGGCTATGGGAAGACCATCACCCAGGCTGGGTGAAGACAGTCCACTCTGGTGTAAGCAACCCCTCACTCTGTGTGCTTTAGGTAAGCCCAGTCAACTTTCTGATTCCCCGGGGTGAAGTTCAGTGGGATCATAATCTGGTTTGTCATTGGGACCTTGTAAGCAGGATCATATTTTGAGATGTCTCTTGACCTCATAAGCAAGGAATAGACATTGTTTATTTCTCATAAGGAACTCACAAGGAGCTGGTCTGAGTCATCTTAGATGGCTGTCTTAATTCATTCTGGGTGCTGTAACAAATGCCCTGGGCTGGCTTCTAAACAGAGAAATAGATTGCTCACAGTTCTGAAAGTTCAAAGTCAAGTCTCTCATAGAATCTTTGCTGTGTTCTCACATGGCAGGAAGGATGACGTTCTCTGGGCTGTCTTTTGTTGTAGTTGCTGTTGTCTAGGCCTGGCTGCCTTTGAACTCCTGTGTGATCTAAGATATTTGATCCTCCTGGCTCCATCTCCTACATGCTGGATTGCAGGAACCTGTTACCATGCCTAGCTTATCAGACAAGCACCCTACCAACTAAGTCACATCTCCAGCCCCCAAGGTATCATTTTCAAGGACTCGGATGCCCTCCCAGAAGGTCCTACCCCCATAGACTAATTACCTCACAAAGGTTCATCTTCAAAAACCATCACTTTGTGGGTGAAATTCAGCATGGGAATTTGGGGTGATAAACCACTCCTGTCATGGCAGGGACTTGAACACACACTGCATGGGTTCAGTCATCTGCTTTCTGTCCTCCACAGGGAGCAGTCACACGCTCTCCTGGTTCAGGGACTCCACTGAGGCCATCAGAGTAGCACCAAGTTCCTCCGACCATGAGGAGCTAATTTCCTGACACACTGGTGACTCCGTGGTGTTCTTTTGCACTGAATAGAACACAACATTGTTTGAAACCTACTTGTTAAACTCAGTGTGCTTAACTCATCAAACTCAGTATGAGAGCCAAGGACTCTCTACAGCTCTAACCACCTCATCTGAACTTGGGATACAAATGAATATTTTAACCAGAAAGAAAACAAGACATTTCTTTCCATGATGGAGATACATAAGCTCCTCCACTGCAAGGTGACTGAAGGAGGCTTAGGTTTTTAAAGCAAGGAGAGATGATATTCTGATTTTTTTTCTCCTCCATTAAGGGTCCTAGCCCTCAAAATCTCCATTCCATTGTTCCCTGCCCCTCATTCCTTCCTTACCCTTATCCCATCTATTCCACTATATCCTATTTTTCTAGAAGCAAAACTCAATGTTTTCTTTCATTATCTTGACTTGAAGCCTTCAGTTTCCCAATTAGACATAGCTGAGAACCATGCATGCTGAGAACTGTGACTTTAGTTGGATAATTGAGTAGTTATGAATGCATAGATCAGGTGCCTGGGAAAAGTGGTCCCCTTGACTTCATTGCCGTGAGCTCATAACACCCGAAACCCACACATCCAAAGATCTCATCTAACCATTTCCCAGGGGAACCTATGACAGGCAGCCACTGGTTGACCCATAGCAACAAGAAAAGTGACTGGCTTTTGGGATTTACAAGCAAAGGACGATGGCTTTCTCATTGTGATGGACACAATGAGAGAGCTGAACTTGAAAATGAAGGAAAATGTATGAGGACCAGAGTTTAGATCCTCAGAGTTCATGAAAAGGTCAGGTAGGCATGGCAACTGCCTGTATCCCAGCACTCAGGAGGGGAGACTGGGCATCCCCAGGGCAAGCTGACCGGCTAACCTGGCAGCAATCAGTGAGCTCCAGTTTCCGTCGAAGACCCTGCCTTAATAAGTCAAGTGGGATGCAGTTTAGGAAGATACCCAACATCAACTTCTGGTCCCCAAATGCATATGAACACACATGCAAGTGCACGCGTGCGCGCACACACACACACACACACACTTATTACATACATGCACATACAAACAAGAGGAAGGAGAAAAGGAACGGCCATCACTATTCGTATGTACCATCTGCCTGTACAATGCCTCCTTGGTTTCAAGGACCTTCTGTATAATCTTCCTAGAACCCTAAGTCTTAGGTGGGTACTCCTTGCAGCAGCTGCTACAGAGCTAACCTTGTACCACTTCCAAACCCCTTACTTAACACACACTATACCAATTGTCTTGCAGAACCAGAGATCCAGGGAGACAAGAGCTCTGGTTTTTTCTCAGTTCTGTTAGTAAAATGTATGAATTTTTTGAGTCTGCATAAGCCTTTATTTTTGTAGGAGTCTTTGTATCTCTGAGCAAGGTCAGTTGATTGTGGCTGCTCACGTTCCTTCGTGTACAAGGGACATTCAACAAAAGGAGGGCAGGAGGCTGAAACCTAGTCATATCCTCCTCTCTAACCCTTTCTTTCCTGGCAGGATCCACTCAGCGAAGAGGAGCCTTTTCCTGCCTTGCACAATAGCACCATATGGGCCTGTATCGGGCAGCTCTAGGCCGAACAACAACCTTCCAGTGGAGATGGGGGTTCTCTGCTTTCCGAGAAAGGCTGGGGCTAAGGGATTTTAAAACACTGTTTTTTCCAGCCCTTCAGCAGCCTGCAAACCCATACACCATCCCCACTCTCAGCCAAGCTCTCGCTCACTCTTGTCTCCTCTGCTTTTTGTCTTCGTCAGGGTTTGGGATGACAACACCAGCCACAATAGGAGGGAAGATCTTTCTGATCTTCTACGGTCTCATTGGATGTGCAAGCACCATCCTCTTCTTCAACCTCTTCCTAGAGCGGCTGATCACAGTCATCGCCTACGTCATGAGATCCTGTCACCAGCAGCAGCTGCGGAGACGTGGAGTAGTGACCCAGGACAACATGAAGGCCCCTGAGAAGCGTGAAGCTGACAGCCTGGCCGGCTGGAAGCCCTCTGTGTACTATGTCATGCTGATCCTATGTTTGGCATCCGTGGCCATCTCTTGTGGCGCCTCGGCTCTGTATGCCATCATGGAAGGCTGGAGCTACTTTGACTCTCTCTACTTCTGTTTTGTCGCTTTCAGTACTATTGGCTTTGGGGACCTGGTCAGCAGCCAAAATGCTCAGTATGAGAGCCAAGGGCTCTACCGCTTCGCCAACTTCTTCTTCATCCTCATGGGTGTCTGCTGTATCTACTCCCTCTTTAATGTCATCTCCATCCTGATCAAACAGACTGTGAACTGGATCCTGAGGAAACTGGATAGTGGGTACTTCCCACAGTGTCAGAGAGGACTCCTACGGTCCAGGAGGAATATGGTGATGCCCGGCAACATCCGGAACAGGTGCAACATCTCCATAGAGACAGATGGGATGATGGAGAGTGACACGGATGGGCGGCGTCTCTCAGGGGAGATGATCTCCATGAAGGACACCAACAAGGTCTCACTGGCTATCCTGCAGAAGCAGTTGTCCGAGATGGCCAATGGTGGACCCCACCCGTCCAATTCATCCTCCAGGGACGATGAGTTCTCAGGGGGTGTGGGAGCCTTTGCAGTAATGAATAACAGGTTGGCAGAGACAAGCGGAGATAGGTAGGAACCAGGAGTAGCTACTAGATGAAGAGACCCAGGGGCAGGAGGAGGACAAGACACTGTCATGCCCCTAGTGAGCTCAGCTGTGTCCCTGGCTGTTGCTATCCACTTCTCAAGTCCAGCTTTTGAAATCTGATCTTGGCCTCAGGCAACAGCAACCTCTCAAGGTTAGGAACTGGAGCCTCCTTGCCTGCCTCTTATTTTACTCTTGAATTCCAAGTTATATATTGCTGAGGTCCTCACCATCCCCCAGAGTTTTAATTGTCTGCGGGAGACGGGTTTCCCTCCAGCTTTAATTTCCCCATGATGGGCCGTCACTTGGGAAGCAAAGCCCTGAAGGGCCTAAATTCTAGCATGGAACTGTAAATGGCCGAGTTCACCACTTCACCAGCCCCAGTCTGGGCCTCCCAAGCATATTTGTTGTTGGTTCCATAGATGGGGAAAGCATCCAATCTTCTCTTTACACCCGCTTCTCGGTTTGGGAGTCTTTGGTTTATTGTTTTCTTTGGTTTGTTTTTGTTTCCTGTTTGGCTAATGTATCTTTGGGATCTTATGCGATAAGACAATTAATTCATCTTCGAGACATTAAGGCGCAGCGGGGTAACAGCAGTGAGTCAAGGGAGGAGAGCAGCTCCCTGTGTAACTAGAGCCCAGAGCTTAGTTAACGTGTCCTCTTTGAATGGCTACACAGACTGTCATCTCACCAGGGCTTGGAGCCTGTTGTAGAGGCAACTGACTATTTATTAGAACTGAAAATTTAATAAATTCTCATTTTGTTAACTAAGAGGCCATGGGTAATCGTTGTGGACAGTGGAAATACGAGCCTCATCTTGGAGTCTGGGCTGGAGCAGCAACAACCTAGGTCACATAATGAAGTGTGACTTTCTTGTCTCACACATTGCAGGGCTGGCTTCTGGGGCTGTACCAAGGCCAGTGAGGCGAACTTCTCAGGCCATGAGAGTATCCCTCCTGGGAATGGAGGTTGCTGACCTTCATAAATGCAAGAGAGAACCTGTAAAGAGCTTCAGGGGTCATTTTTTTTTTTTTTTGCAAGGTTAGAGTGGGTACACATAACTCTTTTGGAAGCAATTAGGTGGACCAGTAAAGACAGTTGAAAACCGGACTGTCTAGGGAAGGGCGAGCCGAGCCTGGGAGCTGAGCGGACCCCTGGGCACCATCTTGTTCCACCCCCTTGACTTTACAGAGGAAGCAGTAGATAACTCAGGGAATGGCTCCTCATCTGAGCCTCAGGCCTAACTGCTGCAGTTGGGAGGAGGACTCGGAGCTCCTGGTGATGAAAGTGGGTCCCTCGGCCCCTCTTCCTCCCGACTTTGAATTGTTTTCCTGACTACAGAGAGGCCTTTTCTCTTTCTTCCTGCTTGTATCTGTATCGCCCTTTAATATCCTGGGAGGTAGCTGTCACCAGAAGGCAAGCTGCACCTGAGCTCTTTCCACCAGCCACTGGGTGCTGCTTCTTAGCAGTTTATTGGTGTCCGTATTTGTGGTACAAGAGCAAGCATAGAGCAGGTCTTTGCTTCTCTGTGTTGATCCCTAGAAACCATGGCAGTGTACCAGGAGGCCCACTGTAACCACATCTCATCTTCTAGGAGGGTCCACTTTGAAAGAGGATGCTTACAGTAATGTTCTATCACAACCCATGGATTCCCGTAAGTGGGCTCCAACATCGGCTTAAGCTTTTCAGCTGTGTTTGCTTATTCCTTGAGACGGGTTCTTGCTATGTGGTCCCAGCTGGCCGTGAACTAATGATCTTCCTGTTGCAGCCTCTCAGATGCCAGGATTACAGGTGTGAGCCGCCATGCCCAGGTCAGATAAAGCTTATGAGAATTGAACTTGGGCTTCCTAAAATTCCTCTCTGAGTGTCAGAGAATGAGCTTGTGTTTTTTGTTTGTTTGTTTGTTTGTTTTTGTTTTTTTTTGGGGGGGGGTCTGGGCTGAGGGTTCCCTCATGGGAATATTGGAAAAATTAGTGTTAGAAAAACAGTGGAGGGGAGGGGAGGGGAGGGGAGGGGAGGGGAGAGGAGAGGAGAGGAGAGGAGAGGAGAGGAGAGGAGAGAAGAGAAGAGAAGAGAAGAGAAGAGAAGAGAAGAGAAGAGAAGAGAAGAGAAGAGAAGAGAAGAGAAGAGAAGAGAAGAGAAGAGAAGAGAAGAGAAGAGAAGAGAAGAGAAGAGAATTTTAGCCAGTAATCATGGGAGAGAGTCCCAGGAGGCAGGGACACAGAAGAAGGAAGCAAGCTTGTGGACAGTACCTTTCCCAGGTGACAACAGCCATGGTTTTCTTTACAGTTTTCTCCTCTGGTCACCTCTGTTCCCACCCAGCATGCCTTCCGCTCTCCTTGGCCATTTTCTCGACACTTCCCTCAGGCTGTTACCCTGTGATCTCAGGGAGTTAGGCCGCCCTAGAAGCCTTTGGCCAAGAGAAAAAGCGCTATTCCCAGAAGGCATTGCAAGTGGCCTAGGATCCTGTGTCAGGGGTTTAGGGTCTCCCCACCGTGATGATCTCAGGCTTTGTCTAGAGGGTCCTGGGTTCTCTGTGGCCCAGGAATGTGACCCGGCAGCCCTGCCTGTGTCTCTTGTGAGCGTCATTCCACGTGGCTTGCCTGAACCGTGGCAGGACCCCATGCTTCCATCGCCTTGGCGTTCTCGTCAACTCAGCTTATAATTCGTTCTGTTTTTCAAAGAGACTGTCATACCAAATGAAAGCCTGTAAGCACTTGCTATAAATAGGAAATCCAGAAATGAGGGGAAATGAAGGAAAGCTCAGACTGTGTTATTTAGTTCTATCCAGATCCTGTATCCTAGCAAAGGCTCGAAGCCTGAAGGATTTTCTCTGTTTAAAAAAAAAGGGGGGGGGGGGAATAGGTGGCTGCGGTGGTGCCTGCTGAGGCGAGAGGATCCAGAGCCCAAGGCCATCTTTGGCTACGTAGCAAGTTCCAGGCCAGCCGAGACCACGTGAGACCCTGTCCCAAAACAAAAGGCCTATGAGATGGCTCAGGGGGTAAAAGCTTGCTGCCAAGCCTGACAACCTGCATGCAATCCCCGAGACCCACACTGGCTCCAATTGGTCCTCTGACCTCTACGCCACACTCACCCACATACAAACACACACGTGAACCAAAAGAAAAACCTCTGTCGTTTCCCATCTTTTAAGTGACAACAGACAACGGATCAGGAGGTGGTAGGGCTTATTCTACGATGACGCCAAGGGGACCAGAAGGGAGTTGGGAAGGAAGTGACCCTCACCTTGTGATTCTGCGTGAATTCCATCCCTGAAGGCCCCTAACGTCATCTCACACTCTGCCCGTACCCTTGGTGTCCGCATCTGGAACAACACAGAGATAACAAAGTACTGTTTCTGAGGTCAAGCCAGCGTGTGAGCAGCAGCTCTGCCTATGAGAACACCAGGCGTGGAACCCCAGTATGGGAGGGGGTGAGCCAGCCTCTTACTGCACTGAGCCCCATCTCTGTGGTAATGCCAGGAAGGCTAGCTTCCTCTGCAAGCTGGTGGGAGGATTCAATTAGGTGCGGGCCGGGGAAGGCGTCGGGATCCTCGGGAACTGTGTGGGCAGTGGCCTGCTTGTTTTCAGGAGAGGAGGCACATAACATTCCTCCAGGGAAGACTGGGCAGGGTTGTAGCACTTGGCACCCCTTGCTCACTATAGCATTTAAATCAGCAGTTCTCGATCTGTAGGGTGAGACCCCTTTGGGGATCGAATGGCCGTTTCTTAGGGGTCGCCTAAGACCGTCAGAAAGCACAGATGTTTACATTGTGATTCCTAGCAGTAGCGAAACTGCAGTTACGAAGTAGCAGTGAAAATAATTTTGCGCTGGTGGTTGCCCCAGCATGAGGAACTGTATTAGAGGGTCAGAGCATCAGGAAGGTTCTGACTGTGCTTCCTCTGTTGTTCACTGGTATTACCTTAGTTTACCACCTCCCATGCCACCACCCCCAAATCCCTGTGTCTAGTCCAGAGAGCTTTCCAGTATCCGCTGACCTCGTCAGACCATTTGATATAATACAGTGCTTTAGAAACAGCACCTCTCTCTCTCTCCTCTCTCTCTCTCTCTCTCTCTCTCTCTCTCTCTCTCTCTCTCTCTCTCTCACACACACACACACACACACACACACACACACACNCTGACACACACACACACACACACACACACACACATACACACACACACTCCCACACACACAATTTTAAGATCTTGAAGCTTAGTCACTCATATTTGTAATATTTTGACGTTCATAACCATACTGTGGAGTAGGAGGTCCTTATTTTCAAATTCTCTTTAGCCTTTTCTGAAATACATTCTATGGGCCAGTTAGCCGAGGTTTGCATTGACAGGAGTTTGAGAATATGCCTGGAAATTATTGACTTCCATGTTCTGACGGTGATTCTCTATGGCTCTAATTCTACCCACAGATATCAGCTACAATTCTTCTACACAGAAATGGTTCTCCTCCCATCTTGCATTGTTTTAAAACGGTTGGGAAGTTTCTGTAGCATTCCTTTTGATGGCAATGAATTAATTCTTTCAGTTGTGTTCTGTCTGATGAAAGTCTTTGCTTCACCTCCTCTCTCTGTACATGTGTGTGAGTGTCTGTGTGAGTGTGTGTGTTCACATGTATGTGGATGTGTGTACATATAGAGGCCAGAGGTCGATGTCTAACGTCGTCCTAATTGCTCTCCACCTATATATGGAAGCTGGGTCTCTCACTTGAACCCAAAGCTCACAGACGTGGTTAGCTCGGCTAGTGAGTTTGTTCCAAGGATGGTCTTTCTCTTCCTCCTAAGCACTAGATGTCAGGTGGGCCACATTCCTGCCCAGCACTTCTGTGCGTGCTGGTGACCCGAACTCCAGCCGTCACTCTTGCACACAGCCCTTTACCCGCTACACCGTCTCCTCGCCTTCTGGAAACAGAAGTCTGTGCTGCCAGGTGTTAGGAAATAACTTATCCCTTCAGATACGACCACATGGCTGTCTTCTGGTTTGTGTGGTTCCTAATAAGAACGGTGCTGTAGTCTTTTCCCTAATTCTTGAGAACATAGTGTTCCTTTTGGCTCTAGCTGGTTTCTGGATTTTCTCTTTGTATTTTGTTTTCTATACTTTGTATATGGTGTGTGTGTGTGTGTGTGTGACACAAGATTAATGATAAGCACAGACAAGATCCATCAATGAATATTAAAATTAACGATGTAGAAGTTTAAGCAAAAATAGTGTATTTGCAGTGTCAAGGAGTGGCTATTAAAGTATTTGGTAGTTAGGGCCGGAAGTATAATTCCATCAGAGAATGCTTACCTAGCACATGTGAGGACCAGGTTCAACCTCCAGCAACTCCGGAAAATGATAACCATTTGTTAGTTATGAAAAAAATGATCACAGAGGCACATTCCGGCAGACACCACGTTGCTCAAGAGAACAAAGCTAACCTCACTGTGGGACATGTTGCATCTGTGTTATCTGACACAGCACATGGAGCAGAGCCCCGTGTTCGCAGTGACCCGCCACCACCATCTGACCACGAGCGAACATCAGCCGAAGCCACACTGAAGAGCATCCTGTGCGGTAACTGATCGGGACTCTTCAGGCTCGGCGTCATGGAGACTGATGAGCTGTGTGGAGGATGCAGAGGAGACAGAATAATGATGTCATTTGTATTGGCCCTGGAACTAAGACAGTTTAGGGTCCTGGGCTGGGTCATGGAGTATGAAGGGAACACTAAAAGAGGAATGAAGTCCAGTAAATGGCGTGGACTTGGTAATAGTGTTGCCCATGCTTAAAGCCTTAGTCTGAATGAGGGTTCTGTGGTTATGTAACGTGTTCGTTCCCATAAGGGGAAGTTGGGTAACAAGTATACGGGAACACTCTGCGCTATTTTTACAACTTGCATATAAGTCTAAAATTATCGCAAAGTAAAAGAATTAAGGAGAAACAAAACAAGGCTTCCTGCAGCTGGCACAGCCAGGCACACCTGGACTGGGGTGTGACTGGAGCTCACAGCTGAGACTCAAGTTCCCACTCATGTCCTCTGCAGGTGGGGCCACCAGCTTGAAGTCAAGTCTGGTGGGGGGGCGGGTTTCTCAGGCCAGAGGCGGCAGCATCAGTGACCAAGGCTTGTTACAGATGCAAAGTCTCAGCTCTCAGATTCCAGGAAGGAACTCCAAGTTCCAATGTCAGCAGGCCCTGCAGGCGAGCCTTTGGTGGGCTAAAATTGGGAAGCCACTGGTTAAAAAAAAAAAAATTAATTTTTTAAATGATGCTTTTTTTTGGATGTACTTTTACTGTATGTGGGATATTGTTTTGGATTTATTGGGAGTGTTCTGTTTTGTTTGGGGGCAGGAGGGTCAGGATTTCAAGGCCAGCCTCAGCTATATATTTTAAGGCTAGCCTAGAGTTCCTAAGTGTCAATACAAAGAGAGGGAGAGGGAGAAAGACACAGAGAGAGAGAGAGAGAGAGAGAGAGTGAGAGAGAGAGAGAGAGAGAGAGGTAAATTAATTAATAAATAATTCCTACCTTATTAGCCATGTGGTAAGAAGGCAGACATGGTCCCATTGCATCATGGGTACAGAGCTGTGATGTGGCCTAGGCTAGTGCCCTGGGGTCTGGAATCCAGACTCCTCCTCTCACAGGCCAGTACTATCCCACTGTCTCTAAGTGGACTAAGGGTCTAAGTCTTGCCGAGAATGTCCACCTGAGGGGAGGCAACTGTGGAATGACACCTAGCCCTGAGAACCAGCCTCCACCAAAATTCTAAAGGTATCACTGTCTCTGAGTCCACCTTTCAGCCTTCTAGAACTTTCTCTCACCTCTTTACCAAC